TGAATTATTATATATATTTTTGTTTCAGTAACATACATTCTACTACGTTAGAATGCTTATTAATGCTTCTAGGCAAAATAACTGCTAGGTATTAATCTCTTAGGGGACTGGACCATATACTTGCCTGGACTTGTCTTCTCATTATAGCTCCCCACCCAGGACAACACCAAGGACACCGTGTCCTTCAGTTCCATTACAGAACTGGGCCACCAAATTTAAAAAGATCAACTGCTTTACATATTTCTGCATGTGATGAGCATGAAAGATTATTGTAAGATATGATCGTTTCTGTTGGCTTTGTGTACGTGTCATATTTCCATAATGTGCCTTGGTGTCTCATGCAAATGAACCACAGTAGACTGCATTGTGCAACTCCAGGGGAGTGGCATTCACATCATAGTCTGTGGTGCCTTATGGAGTTGCACAGTGCACAACCTAGGCAACCTTGGGCGGTGGCTCTGATTGCTAGTCATCAGACAGGCCCCTGAGGAGCTTGGGTGTGTGCTGCTGGGAGAAGATCATGTCTGTTTCAAGGGCAGTGGTGGAAGACATTAGCTAGCATGGGGCAGAGTTCACGCTGTGTGATTATGGGGTGAGGTTTACACCACTTGTCAAGTTTCAAAGAGGCTGGTGAAGGAAATATTAGGGGGGCTCTGAGTTTGGGTCTGGTTGACCTCAAACCCCAGAGGGGGCTGGGCCAGCAGAGTCCACTCACTAGCCTACAACTTGGAAAGTGCGTCGGCTCTCAATGGACAGGAGCCGAGAGTTTGTTTTTTTAAGGTTTAATAAAAAATAATCTGGTAGCTCCTTAATGTTCAGGCACAGCTCCCTTTCTCTGCAACCTGAAAGCTTCCCAGTGAGCATGTTTCATGGGAGGGGCTCTCTTCTGCTAACAGAGTTTTCGCGCCAGCACTCATCTGCAACTGTTGATCTCTTTGGAAATCCTAAATAGAGCTGCTGAATTGTTGTCATGGTTACCTGGGGCAGTTTCTGAGCCAGAATGTTCTCAAGGAAGGCAGCCCTGAGCTGGGTATCCTGGGTTTCTGAGTAGTCAACTAACTCAAGAGAATTGTTTCCCTCTTCCTTCTCCCATGCTCTTAATTTAATTGCTACCCAGAAGTCTGATGTCTACAGAGATCATCTTAGCTTCAGCCCAGCCCAAACCAACCAGCATCCTGACTATGGCGCTGGTGTGCCTCCTCCCTCTACAAAGTGACCTATGTTCCTAGATTCACTCATGCATGCAGCATCTGGGAAAAAGACACTAGCGAAGTAGTTCTCTATGCTTAATATGTCAATAAGGAACTGACATTTTTGAAAACCTCCTATGAGCCCAGCACTTCACTTGTATCTCATGTAATTTACTACCTTCTAGCCAGGGAGGAACTATCATTCACATTTTATTGATAAGGAACCAGGGGCTTGTAGAGGTGATTTCTGCCCAGAGCTCTACAATTAGGCAGTAGATCTGGGATTCAAATAACCAGTTTGGTTCTAAAGATAACCCTCTTTCCTTCAAGCATGGCAGCCATTTCAGCCACTAAGAATTGGCAGCCCCAAAAGACTCTCAACCAACTACTGAACATTGAACATTCATTCATTCAATAAACATATTCTGAGTCCACTCTGTGCCAAATCCTCTGATGGCCACTAGCGACACACAGATAAATCAGACAAAATCTCTGCCTGTGGAAAAAAAATTAACAACCAGCAGTAACTAAATGAGAAGAATCTACAAAATGCTACAGAAAGGAGAGTCAGGGAAATCATGCTGGAGGAAAGGACACCTAATTGAATCAGCTCAGTTTCAAAGTATGACTAGTTATGGGGAATAAACAGCAGAATAAGACCCAATCCCTAACACTCAAGGAATTCAAAGCAGAGTCACAAAGACTCATGTTCAGGACATAAGACAATAAATAAATAAATAAAATCACTGATGAAGATCCCAAACAGGTGTTCTACATGGAAGTATGGGAGGATTGATAAACTGAGGCAGCAGAAGTTGGGGCCATTGAGGAAAGGCTAGGGAAAGGAAGTGGAAGTCATTTCTTCTCATGAGATCTTTTTAAAAGTCTGTGATTTCTCTCCTTTTTACTCACTACTTTTGCCATAGTTACTTGTGGATTTACTCTGATTTCTTCATTTTTCATTTTCTACTAAAGGAAGACACTACTCACTACTCAAAATCTTTAGAACCTTTGCTGAGAGCGAGGTGTTAATGGTGGTCATAGTGGTGGGTATGTACAAATATGAACAAGACAAGGAACCCTTGAGTAGCAAATGAATAACCTAAATGATGAAAGTTTGAGAGACGTTAGCCCCAAACCAAACAGCAGACCTGAAAAGAGGATTCAGGAAGGATATCATTGTAGTTGGTTTGTTCACTCTTTTTTTTCAGCATCCATTCGCTGATGATTCCTATCTATCAATACAAGGTCCTCTCCTCAAAGAGCCCACAGGTGACCACAGGTCCAGGAGACATAAGCAACCATTACAATAGAGGGTGACAAGCATGAGAAATATACTGGGCCATGGATATTCATTCAAGAGGGATTTCAGAAGACAGAATTGGTAGCTTTTGAACCGATTCCTAAAACTAAGTAAGGGTTTACCAGGTGGAGGAGAGAGGAAACGGAAGGTAAAAAGGAACTGAGATTATATTTCGAGGAGCTTGGTGTGGGGCGTTTGGAGGAGATGAGATGTTAAGATACACTGCCCCCAGAGTGCAAAACCCTTGAATATCAGGATAAAAAGTTTGGTCTTTTTCAAGGAGGTAGTGGGCAGTCGTAGAGACAGCAGAACAGGTGAGGATCCTGGTTAAGATTCTTCGTTTTGGAAATGTTCCCCTAATAAGCGGGTAGGGCCCATTAGAGCGGATGGGAATAAGGAGGGCTCGGCCACGGACGCCTGAAGCAGCTGTATCTCTGTGCCTGAAACACTGCACCGGACGGGAGCCTAAACCTAGCAGGAGGAGTGGGGGTGGGGGAAGGAAGGTGAAGGGAGAGTCCCGTTTAAGATCCTCTTTCAGGACAAGGACGTACGCAATTCTAGGCACCTTGCAGCAGCTGGTAAAACCCGCCTCCTCTTCCAGATCCCTCTGGGGCGGAGCTCGAGCCAAAGCACGAGATGCCTGGGGAACCACGTTTACTCTGGGCAGTCCTCTCGTTCATCCGCGGTTTCTTGGGTAGCCACTCCGGTCTCCTACTCCTGGACCCTTTTCCACAGTGCTAGGGCAATCCGTTCTCTTCCGCGCGTCCCTGCGCGCTCCTCCCGCAGAGCGTGGTTAAGCGAAATAAACAGCGCAGTAGCCCTTTGCCCACACTAAAGATGGCGACTCGCCGGGCTCCCTCCGGGTAGTAGAGCGAGTTCCAGGCTCCAGGCCTCACTGGGCGAGGCGCAGACGGAAGGGGCGTCTCTCGACGTAACTTTTCGACCTTCCTGGGAGGGCACCTGGCTTATGGGCGTGGCCTTATCTGAATTGTAGCAGCTTATTGGCCTTTAGGCAGGTGGGCGGGGTGTCTGCCCTAACCCACCCCTCCCTTTTCGAACCGGAAGTGTCTCTAGGTCTTTCCAGCTGGTTGTCATTTCACTCGGCTAGGTCCTGAGGAGAAGGACTCAGCCGCGGCTGCTGGACCCGGGCACCGGGAGGCGGCGGCGGCGGCGGCGGCGGCAGCGGCAGTAGCAGCAGCAGCGGCGGCGACAGCAGAAGAGGAAGAGGAGGAAGAAGGAGAGAAGAAGAACAGCCAGGCGGAGTTCGCAACTACGACAGTGGGGACTGCGGGACCGGGGTAAAGCAGCGGCGACGACGACGGCCCAGCAACCGTGAGGAGAAACAAAAGCCTTCTAAATTACAGTTTTTAAAAAAATCTGGGGGCAAAAAGAGAGAGCAAAGGGGGAGGCCCTTCTCTTTTAGAACAACTAAGCTAGTGGGGTTTTCTTTTTTTCCCTCTCCCCCCCCCCCGCACCCCCTCCCCCCTCCCCCCCGCGGAGAATCGAACTGAGAGAACTGAACAAACCGCCCCTGGGTCCCATGAGGGAAAAAAACCCCGGAGCCGCAGAGAGGGGAAGAGGCCGAAACCGCAGGACCTTCCAGGTCGCCCCCTTGGTCCCCGCACCCCCGGGCCGCCAGCTCGTCCTCGTCGAGTCTCCCTAATCCATCCTGATCGCGACACCCCCACGAGGGAGAAACGGGTGTGTTTCCAAACCATTTCATGGGGGAGAGGAGGCCAGGGGGAGCCCAGGAACAGCGACCGCAGCGAGATCTGCACCCAGAGCTTCAGGAACAGCCCCAGAGGCCAAAACTGCACCCCGTGAAAGAGCAGAAACAGGACCAGGAAGAGCAGAAACCTCCCTGCAGTCATCTTTCCATTAGTCAATGCTGATTTCCTCTCCCGCAACCAGGAATTTGCCCCCTATCCCAGATAACCTAATATAATCTATATATATAAATATATAATATATAATGTTCTTAAATTATTCCTGATTTTTTTTAACCAAGCTGCCAAGAAAAGAACCTATTCTCCTCTTAGCCCTATTCTAATTTTTATGTGAGTGAATCTAAACTGCTGAAGAAGACCATATGTGATTGTTAAATTATATATATATATTTTTACTCCTCGCAATGCTTATTCTTCTACATCCATAGATGCTTGAGAAGCCGTGTTTTTGTCATTCATGTACGTTTTCCTTTGGAAAAAGAAAGCGCCTATTTTACTAACCAAAGACTTGATTTTTACCCTCTTCGTTTTTATTCCCTCCTAGAAATAAGCCTAGTTGAATTCATGTCAGTGTTTTAAGATTTTTTTTTTTAGTTTTTTTTTTTTCTTTCAGAGACCAGAATTCCAAATCTGAACTATTTAGGGTGATAAGCTGCATCTTTGACCTAGCTAAAATAAGACGTTTCAAACAAGCAACTTACATTTGGAGTAGAGGATACAAAGGCTTGAGATACTAGGTTGTTGTTTTTTATCTTAAGATTCTGAGCCTAAAAATAATAAATGGGGGATTACGGGTTTGGAGTGCTAGTGCAAAGCAATACTGGGAATAAATCTGCTTTTCCAGTCAGATTCCATCCACATCTGCAGCCTCCACACCATCACCAAAATGCCACCCCCAGCCCTGCTGCTTTTATAAATAATAACACAGCTGCCAATGGCAGCAGTGCCGGGTCAGCTTGGCTGTTTCCTGCTCCGGCCACCCATAACATTCAGGATGAGATCTTGGGATCAGAAAAAGCAAAAAGTCAGCAACAGGAACCGCAAGACCCTTTGGAAAAGCAGCAGCTCTCCCCCAGTCCAGGTCAGGAAGCTGGAATACTGCCTGAAACTGAGAAGGCTAAACCTGAAGAAAATCAAGGGGACAGTTCTTCAGAAAATGGCAACGGGAAGGAGAAAATAAGAATCGAATCACCAGTGTTGACAGGGTTTGATTATCAAGAAGCCACGGGGCTAGGTACTTCGACCCAACCCTTGACATCAAGCGCATCGTCTCTCACTGGTTTCAGTAACTGGTCAGCAGCGATAGCGCCTTCCTCCTCTACAATCATCAATGAAGATGCAAGTTTCTTTCACCAGGGAGGGGTCCCAGCTGCTTCGGCTAATAACGGTGCTCTGTTGTTTCAAAATTTCCCCCATCATGTCAGCCCTGGCTTCGGAGGCAGCTTCTCTCCTCAAATTGGGCCTCTCTCACAGCACCACCCTCATCACCCTCATTTCCAGCATCATCACAGCCAGCATCAGCAGCAAAGGAGGTCTCCTGCCAGTCCCCATCCCCCACCTTTCACACATAGAAATGCTGCTTTTAACCAGCTGCCTCATTTGGCGAATAATCTTAGCAAGCCCCCTTCTCCGTGGAGCAGCTACCAGAGTCCCTCTCCTACACCGTCTTCTTCCTGGAGCCCAGGAGGTGGTGGATATGGTGGCTGGGGAGGGTCCCAAGGCCGGGATCACCGTAGAGGGCTGAACGGAGGAATAACGCCCCTGAACTCCATCTCGCCTTTGAAGAAGAATTTTGCAAGCAATCATATTCAGCTCCAGAAGTATGCTCGCCCCAGCTCTGCCTTTGCTCCTAAATCCTGGATGGAAGATAGCTTGAACAGGGCTGACAACATTTTTCCTTTTCCGGTAAGATTATGTTCCATTAATAGATTAAGGTGAAATAAGGAAACGGCATGGTGTAATATCTGTGTAACTAAGAGAGTTTGAATTGTCTGTATTCATATCAGAGCTCTTCTTAGAAAAAGAGTTCATTGTCAGACATTATTTTGGCAGGAGAGCAGTGTAATTTGGAACAAAATATTCAGCTGTTCTTTTTTTGTAATTTTCTAATTGTTATCTTTCCATAGATAACCATATAAATTAGCATAATTGTGAATACCAGGTAGCTAGTGATGTCATGATTATTAACTGAAGTACCTTTCTAGCCTGACAAGAAAATCGTGGTAGGTTTTTTCCTACTTATTTAAGTGAGAATAAATAATGTAGATATAAATATATTTCATTATGGAACTGATTAACATTTTCTGCCCATATGCATAACTATATACCCTCTCAGATTTGTTTTCACCACTGAAAGGTAGTGATTCGCTGAAAACCAGCTACTGAAATACAGTTTTCTTTCTGGTCATATTTTAAACCCGAAACCTCTCTGAACCATGCAGTCTGAACAGTTTGCATTCATCAATTTGGAAATTCCTATTAACATTTTTTGCAAATTCTGGCTTGCCTTGTGTCAGTAAGGACTGCTAGAGAAATGATGTAAATATTTTCTTGATCCCCAATTATTTTTGAATACTATGAAACTGTTGGTCTCTTTTATGATGCCTTTTCACCCATTTGTTTATTTCCCAGTGTTAACACTAGGGGTGTAGATAATTAAACCATTCCTAAAAATAGGTCCAAAGATTACTTCTTTTTTGCCACTAGTGTATTCTTATTCTCCAAGAGTCACATTGTTTGATGTTTTTGAATTAATGAGCAGCGAGTCTAGTTGATAGATATAATATAAAGGGAGTTTCAGAGTTAATTGAGCATCAGATTCCCTACTAAATTTGTTTTCTTTGGGGGTATGATCATTTATAAGTGTTTAGGAAATTTATATGGATTATAAGCTAACACTGAATCAGTCCTCACAATGAACCCCACAAGGAAATTTCTATTATTACCTCCATTTTAGAGATGAGAAAATCGAGCATCAGCAAGATATAGTAACTTGCCCAAAAGCACACAGCTGATGTACTAGGCTAAAAAGCAAGGATTAAAACATACTGTGTTATATCTTAAAAGTTATTTTAGAGATCTTTCTGTAAAGGCTAAAACAGATTTCAAAATAGTTGTACTGTATCCAGACGTGATGTCAGCACAAGTGGAGTTATCTGTTTTAATTAATAATTTGCTCAGAGGGAGGGAAAATTTGCTAAGAGAACTCTGTGTCATTCCCAAGAATTAAATATCCATTCTCTAAGGATTCAGGTATAATAGTTAGGATGTATCAAAATATTTGGTGAAACCTGTTTTTAAATTTTTTTTAGTATTTTTTTGCCCAGTTTGAAAAAAGATGTTGGCTTTTGTTTTTAAAAAGGGTTTTCACTCAAACTGAAGAGAGCAATTTTCATGCTCTAGTGATCAGGTAAAAGGCTGTTTAATACATTGGCAGTTCCATGAAGTCTGTTTTTAAAAAGTTGGTTTTGATAGTCCTTTGAACATAAATTTAAGGGAAGTTTAATGCAAAGGTAACTTTTGCAAATTATTCATATATTCCAAATTAAAAATCCAAGATGGCATTCTCAACATTTTAACTGGGTTAAGCTCACAATTGAAAATACTTTTCTTTTTTATTTTGCTACTAATCAAGTGACAGAATGGATTTGTGTAACTGCATAGTTTGTTTTCCATTCTCAGTTTACTGACTTTTGATAAAGATTTGCTTTGGGAAATTAATTTCAAAAAGTGACTAAATTATATGTATATACACATTATTAATATTTTTATGGGGCTGATGAGATGTGTTTAACATGTGAGATTTTTTCAGTCAGGTGATTTCTTAAGAGATTAAGCTGATGTATGAAATAATAATGTAGTAGACTAAGATTGATACTAAAAGATATTGTTAGAAACCAGCTCTTCCCTTAGAATTGTCTGTTATGCTGAGGGTGGAAAAAACAATGAGTCAATATACCTGGTTCAAATATGGTAGGATTAGGAACTAAGTTGTTGATTTCTGTATACCATTCCCACCATTTTTAGGAGAATGTGTGTATTTCTGTGTGTGAGAGAAGAGAAGAGAGAGAGGCTGGGAGTTGGGGAGCTGAGAGAAGGGTGATTTGAAAGTCACAATAAATATAAGTGATCTGAAAAAATTCCTAATTGAGTTTTGAAAATATAAGAAATTAGTAAACTGAGTACTTTGGTGCTTACTTAAATGAATGCAGAGGTGTGTGTTTAAAGAATTATTCTTTAGAAAAAATTTTTGGCTAAAAAAAATGCCATTTTGAGTTGGTATGAATTACTTGGTTAAATTTGATATGAAAATATTTGAAGGAACATTTCTTTGACTGGGATCTCAGACACCTAGTTTGTGGTCTTCACCCTGTCAAAGTCATAGCATTTGGGGGCCTCAGTTGCTTCATAAAATTGGCATGGGGGTGACCTAGGTGATTTCTAAGTTCCTTTTGATCCTAAAGCAAGCTACTGTGAAATTTAAATTGCTGCACTCACAGTCCATACTTTTTTCTAAACACTGCTATCTTATTTAACTTTATTAACTTAAACTATTAATTTTAGGAAAGATGTTTTAGACATTAGTACTTCAATCGCTATTAAAAAGAATTCCTTAGTTGTTACAGAGAGATCTTAAAATTTACTACAGAAATTACAGGATAGAATTTACATGGTTATATTATAATATTGGTATTCAAAGTCTGGCATGGAATTATTATATTAAAAGGAAATAATTTACCTGAAATGTAACTAATACTGGGCAATGTTTATTTTAGTTTGAAATGAATCAGAATGGTTTTTACATTTGTTTAACACAGGTTTGGGCACATACAGTGAATTAAAATTCATTATGACATTTTAAATTAATTTTTTTTTGGCCAGTCTTAATCTTCTCTTTTATGGAACCAGGAGCAAAGATTGAAAATATTGAATTATCTTCTAAATAAGTGATATGACAGGCATTATATCTTAGCATTTTCTTTGTATTAGTATATGTGCTGCCGAAGCGAGTTAAAGTTCTCATTACGTGAATTCAGATAACATGCCTCAAATCCAGTTTTCAGATAATTAATGTATATTTAATAATTGCCTGCTTATGATAATCTGTTTTCACATGTATTAATTCATTTCACTCAATCCCATGAAGTAAATATTATTGTTATTATTACTATTCACACATGCGATTAGGCTTTTAACCGTTATACTACAGTATCTTTTCACATAGACATGATGCAGATGAGGAGTTGGGGGTGGGGGTAAGAAATGCCTGCCAGAAGCATGTAGGTAGGAAGAAAATTTTTACAGTGAAATATTGATACCTGATGTTCAAAAGCTAATTATAAAGTTTTGAAAGTGGAAAGTAGTAGAATATATTTGTCAACTTCAAAATATTAAACTTAGATAATAGCCCTCAAATGAGTATTTTTTTGTTTTTAGTACATGCCAGATATCAGACACTGAGCTAGGTGCTTTCATATTTGTTATCTCACTTCCTATATAGGATTTTTCAACCCTATGAGGTTTAGTTTTATTGTCTTAATTTCAAAATGAAGAAACAAGGTCCATATATTGTGACTAAAGGCATGATTTGACCCTTACTTCAAGAGGAAAAGAATCCTACCTGTCCTGCCAAACACATCCTGGAATCCTGATGTGCAAACCAAATAATGTATTGGGCACCTGCCATTAATTATATTTGAATATAGCACGTTTTTGGAGGGGTGCCTAGATCTTCTGTCCTTACAGGAAGTAAATGAAAATTGTGTGCTATAGATTCTAGTATTCTGTTATATTCAGCTCAGTTATGCCCGCATCTCTATTAGCTAAGAACCAAGAAGTAGGCCAAAAAAGAAAAAGAAAACAAAAAGAAAGAGGGGAGACAAAATCTGTCACAAAGATGGTCTTAAAACTGGGTTGTTAGGAAGACATTTTAGGATTTAGAGTCCATTTGCTTTGGTCACCATGGATTTGTTAAGTTGTCTTAACCAGGCAAAATAATTCATGTCACTTTAATAACTCTCCTTGTGTTGTCAATTTATTGATCTACAAATTCTACATGGCATCTTATATTTGAAAACAGAAAGTTACTGCATTGCTTTATGTTCAAAAGTCATGGTGAATTATTAAAATTATCTAAAGTGCAACTTTATTACATTACATTTTTTTTCATGTAGTCCCAAGAGAGATCTTTGCATAGGAAATATTTTCTTTGACTTATTATATTTATTTATATTAGAAGAGGGGAAACTCATTATTTTTAACTGTAAAGCATGGGTTAGATGATTCTGGCTCCAGCAGAATTGATATATTGGGAAAACTTTGGGAAAAATCTACCAGATACAATTTTACTCCTTTTTGTAGAAAGCCTTTTAACTAGGTTTAATTGCTTTTATGATGAAATCAAAACTTGGGCAGGGTAGTTTTGAAAATTTTTATTTTCTGTTGTGTCTTCAGAAAAGCCGTGGAATATGATCAGCACACTGTTCAACATCTTTCAGGAAATGCCTGTTTATTGCAAGCCTAATGAATGTGGTTGTGTTGCTAGTTGCAGTTGGAAAGATGCTGTTAGTTTATGAGTTTATGCTTTTGAGAATAGTTTTTGTTGGTATTCATAAGAAAGAAATGGAAAAGTAGGCTTAAAGTTAACATATGCCTGTTTTGAATTTTGCAGTCTAAATTTATTTTCCGTATGACTTTTCTCTCTCTTGTTATAAGGAAAATAAGCTTGAAGTACCATTATCACATTTTTTTCAGCACTACGTTGTACTTTAGTTTTTGGTCCCAACATAGATAGTATATATAATGCATTTCTCAGGGAGCTTGTAACATGAGCATTCGTTTTAACTTTTCCTGACAGAAGTCATTTTATGTTGTTCAGAGAAAATTGTTCTTGCAGAAATTAAAGT